CACGGCTTCTCGTGGTTCGGCTCAGCACACGGAGCGGCTTCGGCCAGACGTCTGGATTTCGCACTAGTGAACGACACCCTGTGGACCATCTGTTTGGAGGCCAGAGTACGAGTTTCTCCTCTCTCTGACCACTCCCCATATAGTTTTGACTTACAGCTGGGTGGTGACCCCGACAGAGGCCCTAGCTACTTCAGACTAAATGTGTCTCATCTCAAGGACGAGGCACTGATCCAGTGGCTGGCACGGATCATCCGAAACTGGAGTAAAGTCTCCTCCTTATGTGCCACTCCGCAAGCCTGGTTTGATGGACTTATGTCGGCATTACAGGAAACATGTAGTCTCTACTCCCGAGTGAAGAGCAGAAGGTCACATAAACTCACACAAGACCTAAGATCCACCATCTCTTATGCGGACTAGAACATGGGAACGAACACGGTCTCAGACCTTTATTGGTACCTAAAGAGGCAGGAAGCGCTAGTCGCCCTCGAACTGCATGAGAACAAGCTTGAAGAACAACGCAAGGACTAACTAAAAATCAGGGGCATGATCCACTACGACCGCATGACGAAAGACACATTTCAAGCTCTGCTAAAGTCGCACATCAGACCCCTGATGAAACAGTTAGACCATCCCTTCTCTCTTACAGCTCCACCAACAGAAAATGCGCTCCTAATGTGTGAATATGCTAAAGAATACTTTAGTAATATACTCACCACACGCCGCCCTTTCGACTTGCCAGACACAGACCTGCGGGACTTTTCTGATTTTTGGAATTTTTCAGAAAAAAGGCTCCCTCTTCATATTGCTCTCAACCTGGACCGCCCCCTTTCAATTGAGGAACTGAAGATAGTCGCGCAGGCTATGCCAACGGGCAAAGCCCCAGGAGCAGATGGCCTGCCTATCGAGCTAATACTAGCACTCTGGGATGCACTGGGCCCTGTTCTCACTGATTTATTTAATAATGTTTTCCTGGGTGAGAACCTTCCCCCAGGCATGCTAGAAGGGGTGATTTCTTTGCTGTACAAAAAAGGGTCCAAGACGGACATATGGAACTGGCGCCCTATATACCTGCTAAATGCGTCCTATAAGTTGTTAGCCAAAGCCTTAGCCCTGAGGATTGTCGTCCACCTGCCACAACTTATAGGTCATGAGCAACGCGCCTTCGTCAAAGGGCGCTCTATCCATGAGAACATCATCACCACTCTACAGGCAGTGGAGGTGATAGCAAAAGAGAACAGAGACGTAGCCATCCTTCTCCTCGACATGGAGAAAGCCTACGACAAAGCAGGCTGGTCCTTTGATCTAACCACGATGAAATATATGAACTTTGGGAACAACATCTGTAACTGGGTGCGGGGTATGTACTCTCAAGCGACAACATCGATGATGATTAATGGTCACCGCTCGTAATCATTCAAACTGACAAGGTCGTTGCGACAGGGCTGTCCTTTGACCCCATTATTGTTTGTACTTCATCTTGAGATTCTACTGGATAATCTCAGATTTAACACACAAATCTCGGGATTGAAGATCAAACCAAGGGTATAATGGAAAGTAGGTGCGATCGCTGACGACCTAACTATCTGTGCGGAGAACTCTCCGCAGGTTCTCAACCAAGTCTCACAGGTTCTTAACTCCTACTGCTCTCTATCCGATGCATCAATCAACCGCTCCAAGTCAGTTTATCTCTTTACCCCTGCCCACCACTTGTGTGTGGACTGGGGGATGAGAAGAGTACTAGATAACTCGTCTGAGCGCTTTCTGGGTAGTCAAGTGCCAATGGCCGACTGCGCAGAGACTGAAGACCACCTTTTGGAACAAAAAGTGGTGTCTCGGATCGCCAGCTGGAATATGTCTTTCCTTCACTGGTTATTGGACGTGCCCTTTTGATCTCCGCTTCAGCCTTTCTGTTCTTTGGTATGTTTTGTCTGTTCATCTCATGGGAGAGGCAACTCTTGGCCGGGTCAGAGCTAGAGCTAGGAAATTAATTTGGAAGCCCGAGGCCAGCGAGGATCAAGGCTGTTTGAACAAGGTAGCATGGGATATTATCACCCACCTGAGGAAGGAGGGAGGTTTAGGCTTGTTAGATCCCAAACTGCAGAATCTGGCTTCTCTAGCGAAATGGCCAATCAAGGCGGCCTTAGGCCCTCCAGACAGGCTATGGGTACAACTAGGCAAATACATCTTGGGCAAAGAATGGAACTTGTCCAATAGCTCAGATGTGTGGTCTTGCTTCTTGAGTGAGGCCTTCGTGAATAGAAGACCAAAATCGGCCTTTTGGAAGTCAGTCTTGCGAGCATAGAAACAGGTCAAGCCACAGTATTATTCAGAACCCTAGACTCTCACAGAGGTCCTGAATGAGTGTCTTTTTGACAATCCGCTCATAACGAATCAAGATGCTCTACCCTTCTCCGCCGCGGAAGGGCAAGGTCTCTTCGGAAGACGGTGAATGGAGAGGGGCATCTTTAGAGTGGGGGACATGAGGAAGGTTGATAACTCGGACTGGATCTCTGAACAGGAACTAAGGAGCAAACACCCTCATTTACATCCAGTACACGAAAAACTGCAGACACTGATAGAGGCTTTCCCATGCCATTGGAAGACCCAACTAGACCGGAACGAGCTGCTGCAAGAAGGAAGCTGGTACCTCACGACGGACCTTCTCCACGAGACCAGGGTCTGCAGGTTCTTGAGAACAGAGGAAACGGGTGAAAAGACTTTTCAGCTTTGGTCGCAGAAACCCTTGTGGGAAGATTCCACTCTGTTAAGATTTGAAAATGAAGGAATTTTATCACCGGTACCGAAGCTTGTTCAATGCGTCGTAAATGAGAACTTGGACCAATATATATCTCCCTAGGTTGTTGTAGAACGTAAATTCAGCATATGCACGCAAAATGCAAACGACTGGGGGACTGGTACTTGTTCCCATTGGAATCCCCACATCCTGCCGTAACAACACACTGATAGCAGAGATATACGTATGCTGCAAATCAATCCTCAGATATTTCCACATATCCTCAAAGTCCAACCTCCTCCAGTGATCAACACCTGTTGTCACACCAAACGAGGCACCTCTCCTTCTGGTATTAACCCTCGTAAAATCTCGACCCTTATCCAGGTGAAAACACAGCAACCAGTAGACCGTCTTGACAATGTCCCCATGCGGGAGGTGGCTGAACATGTCCTTAATATCAAAGGATTGTACGGTCACGTCAGTCACTCGCCCCAATCGTCTAATCTTAGTGTTCACACGGCTAATAGTTGTGGTTAGCTGTGACACTGCAGGGAGATTGAAGTGATAGTCCCTCGGTAGATTAAATAGGAGAAAGTTGAGACCCTTGGCAACAAATTTACTCGTACGAACCATAGGCTCACTGAACGTGGGGCAAATGGGACGATACCGCATCAAGTCTTTGTGCTTCGGGATGATATATGCTGATCCCAACCTTCCTTTGTTATCCCACTGAACGAATTTCTGCAATCCAACCGATTTCATATCCTCGCGGACTTCCCGAAGCAAGGCAGTCTCAGTACATAATATGATCGTATACCCGGAGCTCCGTACAAACATATCCATCATAGCCTCAAAGTAAATTTTCGGGCATATTGCAACGGTCTCACCCGGATTCTAATTAAGAAGTGTCAGGACCAGTCCCTCATATTGTTTTTTGAGATCAGTGACATCCTGCCCACACAACAGAGGGTGACTTCGGTCACAATCATCTGTCAAGCAAGCCTCTAATCTCCCGTCTGGGATTCGTGGTAACACACCTTGGAAATTCCTCCAGCTGCGAAAACTCTCTTCCAGTTCCACGAGTAGGGACCGTACCCGATCCGATCTACGCGCTCTAGGGATGTTATTAGCGTTCGCCAGTAGTGGGTGATTAACTACCTCTTTCCGTAAGCGAAAGTGCACGTGCCCATGCACACGGGGATAGGGTAGACCTGCGCATTGACAGGTCAGCACATTCCAGGTTGCAAACACCCGATGATTGTGCAACAGCTCACCAACTGTCTGGTTTTCCTGCCAAACAATCCGAGGTTTCTTGTGCGCACGTCGCATGAAATAGGTAGGCAATTCACACTCCAACAACACATCATTCACGGCCTTTCATAATTCACACATACTGATCCTATCATCAAACTTAACCCTGATTAACAAATCGGCACTCAGGCTGAGGTCAAACTTCCCCAAAAAAACTCGTGAGATCAATCTGCGTAGGTACTTTCTGGTCGAACTTTTGAAAAATCCTTCACGACATTATACAATCGAAGAATCGAGCGCATATCCCATTTATATACTTTGCTAATTACCCTTGGGTTCCTTAGCAGTGAAACTAGGAACCACTTGATGTAACCACATCGTGGTTTCCATACGACAACGTAGTCAATGACAAGGCGTCCCCCTTTCTCAAACCAGGTCTTACAATCCCTAAGTAGTCGGGTTTCAATGCCACAAGAAACCTTAGTAGATCCAAACTTTTTTACAATCTTCTTCCATGGTGACTGTCGGGTATTGCCTCCGCTAACATCAATCGCAAATCCACGTTCTCCTGACTTCTCGTATCCGTCAAGAATCTCAAACAAATTCAACCGCCAGTCATCCGATATCTGCGTTCTAAAGCGAAGTGGTGCGATGACCCGCTGGCAATCATACACCAATCTACCCTTCCTAGCCCGTTCGTGTTTAACCAGTGTCCGCTTTTTTTCTTTACCACCATCCCCTCTAGAAATGCTTGTCGTATTCAATGATGGAGACCATTGTCAAGTATACAGGTTTTCAAGCTTAATCAAGTCATCGTTAACTATGGTATCTACTGGTATGAGAACGTAATTCTCTACCCCAAAGATCCCAAGTCAACGGTAAAAATGATTAGGCGACCGTTTCCGATATGCATAGAGATGCTCGCACCAGCGGGTGTCCAGGAGTCTTGACGACTACCAACGTATTGCGACTTACAATACGGAGTGACGGTAACGTATACACTCGACGAGATATTTACGAACTTAGAGTCAAACGTCTCAAACAAACGGATCCACGCATTTACACATTTGCGCCAGTCGGAGAAGTTCCTCGATCTTAGCATTAACTCCAACAATCAAGGTTTGCAATTGCGTCAGGCAACCCATGATTCCTCACAGGTCAGCAATACTGAGGCCACATCACTCAGTATCGTGCTTCGCCTCTCCCTCAGTGGTGCCCTCCGTGCAAGTTTCCCGAGTTGTCTCAGCTTCCTCCTCTTCATCGAACCTGTACGCGGCTCTCGTGCGGTGTGCTGCAATGTCGAAATACATTCAAATTTGCCATTGTACGCAATACCTTCGTCCTTGCAAATATTTTGCAGTACTAACGCGTCAAGATTCTTCAATTCATTCATCACACGCTTCTCAAACCTCAGACGTCCTACCATTCCCAACGGTGCAGGTGTCTTCTTTTGGATAGATGGCGATGTCTTCTTAGGCGTTGGAGTCTTGTCTGCTCGACTCCTCGACCTCGTCACTCTCCTACTTGGCCTAGATTTTGCTGCACGTCTAGGTGTGCGTTTGGGTGATAGCTCCATTGGTGTACTACCCTCAAACACTGGCTCGGACCCGTGCTTCCTCTTATCTATCAAGCAAAGTGTCTCTGTTCGCAAGTTCAGTTCCTCGGTCTCGCTGCTGCTAGCGCCACTCTCCGATGCTGGTTCTTCCGTGGTCTTCTGCTTACTACCGGCCACAACGACACAAAGCTCGCTGATCGGGTCCTGAATCTCCTGTCTTACGTCCTCCCTCACGTCTTCGCGAAGCTCCTCCACTCGGACTGCCATTTTTATGTCCAAGCATTTCCGGATCTCCTCATTCTGTTCTGCCACCTTTCGTGCCTTCTCCTCTCTCTTTTTTTTCTTCAACTTTGTTTCCGCTCTCTCCGCCTCCGCTCGTGTAGCCGCTTCTTTCTTCTCCAATTTCCTTCGTTTCTTTGTTGCTTTCTTTGCCTGTTCGATCTCGACGTACTGGCAAACCGCCGCTACGTTCTTCCCAATCTCGGCTACCTTCGATTTCAGTGGTTTGACTGATGCCGAACTCCTTCCTCCACCAAACTGAGCCGGGAGGCGCACCATGAGTCCTGCGAGGGTGGGGGCACTGATTTGAATAGTGTCCCGGCTCCCCGCAGTTATAGCAGGTGACCGGTCTAGTCTAGGTGCTCGATCGTAACTCCTATCCCCCCCATAGCTCCGATCTCCTCCTTGACTCCTATTGCTTCCATACACTCGGTCACTCCCATAACCTCACTGGATGCCTCCATAATCACGATTCATGCTCCCGTAGTCCCGGTTACTCCTTCCTTGATCACGCCCTTTGTTGTCAGAGTGTCGATGTTCCCCTTGCCCGGCCATGCGCATTGCACCCGGACTCGTAACTTGTCCTCACGTACTCGAAGACACTTGAACTCGCCCACTCTTCCTGTATTGTGTGTTAAACGTGCTCACTTATCCCGGTAGCGTGACTCCATGTAGAGCAAGTCCAGAACAAGTCAACACTCATAGGCAATCCGTCCGCGCAATAGATAATATCATGGATAAAACTCATACGACAAGATGTAGAGCAAGTCGAGAACAAGTCAACACTCATAGGCACAAGTGAGACAAATCAAGACGTAGTGTGTCGAAAAGCAAAACCTCGAAAGTTATGGCAATTGGTCCGAACATTCCTCAACCCCAGGAACCGCCGAGTCATTTCTCAAGACCCTGCTCCCGCCTTCGCAAACGGAGTGGACGAATCGTAAGAGGTCGAGTGTATTGCTACCACACTAGTTATAGGATAGTCGCACCGTCCGACAAAAGGCGCACCCCGCCCTTGCTTCTGGTCAAACCGGAGAAAAGTCGGGGTTTCCCTACCGCAAGCCTACTGACCTTTCTCATGAGTCAAACGCGACCGCTAGCAGCTAGTCTCCTACGTACTACTCTGAAAATCGATACACACAGTACCATCACAAGGTAAGCCTACGGTTCGAAACCCAGAGCACCATGCTGCAACTCGGGCTTACCGGTAAGCAAACACCACGAGACAAAAGAAAAATGAAAATTACCCATTACTGGCGCCGGTTCGAACTCAGCTGGTGTCACAGTTGTCCGCTAGAACATCCAAATGCCGAAGGGCAGAACAAACGTCAATCATGCCAGGAAAACAACTGAACAAACTACGAAGTTACAAACTAAAAACAATAGAACAAAGAGGACAGTCCAAAAACAAAACCAAAACATTTCAAGCAAAACTCGGCCAAAAAATCAGTATTGCTAAAATGTGCTAGCCATGGGACTGCCCTGTGGGATGTGTCATTTGCATTGTTTGAGTGACATGCTTTCTTTCCCTGTCAACGTTTGGTTACCTCCTCCTTTTTTTTGCCTCTTTGTAATTTCGCTGCGTGCATGTGGGTCCTTCTCACAGATGGGAATGAGGGCAACCATCGGTCAAGCTATCATCCACGTGGTTGCCCTTGTACGCAAAGAGGTGATGAACAGGCAAGGCTCATATATATCGTCACAAATAGAACTGCCCGGTAAACCGTAGGCAGAGAGAGAGAAGAGGACAACAAACGAGGGGCTGTGACAAACTGTTTTGTCGGAGTTTCACCGACTCATCTGGAGGCTGAACCCTCAACAGTCTGCAGAATCCCATCACTGATTACACTGTAAATGATAATCTACCTTAACCAAAATCAAAGTAGATTATCACTCACCCACACCAGATGGAAAACTCTATAGACTGACGGTTCACACCCCATCACAAGCCCGCAAAACATCCACGAAACAAAGAAAGGTCTGTCACAGCCAAAAAATACACTCCAGACACGCCGCTGGCACTAGAGGCACAGCATGGCCGCCTAGTAACGG